GTTCTTGGTAACACAACTAGAAGCTAGAAGCTAGATATTCTTTTTCACCTGATCCAACATCAGGCCGTGGATAAAGACAAAGTATAGCCCCCCCGCCACCAGCACCGACTGGAGCCCATTACTTCACACAATGCCTTCTCATGCACGCCATGGGGATTGTCGAAAGATCCGCGCTGGTCAGATGGCCAGCCGGGCTTTCCCCGCACTTAGCAGCCCCTCCATGGCAGCTTTTAATTGAACGGCACCCGCGCCACCCGGAACGCCTGTGTTCAGCACTTCAGGAAAGGCGGTCCTCCCAGCAGGTTGCAGGTGCAAGAAGATCAATAATTGATAGGACCCACACGCACTGCGGGGTCGCAGTCGCACTCACCGAGCTGCCTGTGTGTGGGACATCCAGTGTACTCGCCCAGTGGCATTGCTTGTAAGTTGTGGTTGTGATATTGGTACGTCACAGATGGATCGGGAAACTGCTATGAGCGCCTTGGATTTACCTGTTTCCGTGACTCTCCTCAGCTCCTGCTCGGCTTAATCTTTCTGTCATTTTCAGTTTCACTTTCTCTTCTCCTTTCCCTTCTCCTTCAACAAACGGAACACAATTGCTTTTCAATTCGTGTGTCTTTGCCGGCCTCGTCTCTTGTGAAACCCGTACCCATCCAGGTCCTTAGAAGGCATCGCCGATCCACCACCTTGTCCGCAAGGCTTAACCTCAACCTCAACATCTTGCCTGGGATTCTATCTCGCGCAATTCCAACATGCCTCTCTCAGACGGTAAGATACCGCATTTGAACCTGGACTACGAAAAGCTAATGCTTTCGAAGCAAACCCTTTCCGCACACGCGAGTCTCACAGCGTCCAAGCTGTCTGGACCTACAAGGTGCTGACCATCTTAACATGGCTTCTCACAGTGCTGTCAAGTGTGTACTACACCTTCGGCATGCCCCACGATGACAAGAAACACTGGAGAAATACCATTTGGGGACACAATGCAGCTTTCCCAACACCGTTTGCCTTGAATGCCCTCATCGCTTCTCTCTATTGGTAGGAGGCGGTCCTCGAAACCCCTCAATGCCCGCTGACTATGCCCAGGCTTGCCCTCTTCCTGCTTCAAATCGCCTACCTCTGGCATCTGTTTTCGAATAAGAGTGAACATGTCCAAGCTGCCGCTGGGGTTGGAAGCCACTTCATCTTCAACAACCTCTTGCAGTTTGCCTTCGTGATGCTCTTCGTCCGCGGACACTTTGCCTGGGCTGAGGTCATCTTGATCGTCAACTTCTTCAACCTGTCATTCCTCTACTTCCGTCACAGCACGCACCCTCGACTCATCCACATCCCGGTTGTCTCTGGCCCCCTTGCCTGGACCTTCGTGGCGCTGTACTGGGATGGTGCAATTGTATTCAATCATCACCACGCCACATTGGCAGCTCGTATCTTGGCCAACATTGCAATCTGGGGTATTCTTGTTTATGGCCTTTTCTTCCTCATTATCTACAAGGTAAGTTCTTCTTGATTGTACAGCCTACGATTACTCACATTGCCTAGGACTACACCATGGGTTTCGCACTCAGCATTTTGGCTGCTTCGCTTGGTGTTGGCCAGTTCTTCACGAAGGCCATCGCCTTCCAATGGATCTTTGCATTCGTCATCATGGGCGTCCTTTTCATCGCTACCCTTGGCATTGCCATTCCAGGTATTTTCGGCAAGGAGTTTAGCTTCAGACGCGACCAGAGTGTTGTTCCAGCAGACCAAGAGAGAGCGCCACTCTTGGATGACGCATAGAAGATACATCTCACCAGTCAGCGATGAGCTCAAATAGATTGACTGGCATATCCTGAACTTGGGGCGTGGGAAGAAAGTTGCATTGTTGGCGAAATAATTTGCATGGCAGTGACGATTTCGATTCATGGTTTCTGATACCACTCCGCTCGGTTGTCTGTTGATGTGGGTCTGGGCAAGTTCTTGCAATTATTTTGCCTTCGGAAGGGCTGGAGTCTGTCGGTGCATATTTTTGCTCGTTGATTAATATTGCAAGTCCGAAAATAGGGGTTAGAGAATTTGATGTTTATTTCGCGAAAAAAAGATCATAAGCAGTGATGCCAGTAGTGAAGTGTGCCCTGCAGCCTCCCGAAAATAGCGCGTTCAACCCCTGTAAAGTGGCCCAAGCTCCTGACATCAAAACTCTCAGCCTTCATTCAGCCTTCTCATTGAACTCACTTGCTGCAACAATCCCCCCACGCAAACAATGCCCCGACCCTTCCCCTTTCCCTACAACATCGGAAACGACATCTGCTCTATCAGCCGCGTCTACGAGATCCTAAAAGGCACAAACAGCCGACGATTCGTCCGCCGAGTGCTAATCGAGCGAGAAAGACACGAAGGGCTAGAACGACTCGATGGCCCGCTCGAGCGGTGGAAGATAGCGGGGCGCACGAGCAGCGTGCTAGAATGGAAGATGCGGGAATTGGGGCTCACGGTCAAGGAATTGAATCGGAGGAGGTACAAGCTTAAGGGGAAGTTGAAGAAGCAAATTGCTAGGGGGAAGGGAGGGGAGGAGGAAGGGGATAAGGAGTTGGGCAAGAAGGAGGGGAAGAAGATTCGAGGGCAGATTAGAGCGGAGTTGAGGAGGGAGTTGGAGAGGGAGATTAGGGCGGAGGAGGAGGCGGAGAGGAGGCTTAAGTTGATGGAGGGGGAGGGGGGGGAAGGGAAGGAAGGGGAGGCGGAGAGGAAGCTTGCGAAGGGGGAAGGGGGGAAGGGGAAGGTGGGCGGGGAGGCGGTGGTGGTGAAGGAGGAACAGAATAAGGTTGAGGGGGAGAAGGGGGAGGTGGTTGAGAGTGAGGCGATAAAAACAATTAGGAAGGAATTAATTCAGTCAGTGATGGATCAGAAAGCAGGACTCGAGAAGGGGAAGGAGGTAGTAGCAATCGGGAAGGAGGGAGAAGAAATTGAGAAGGACGAGAAAACTATGGAGCAGAAGAGGTTGGAGAGATTAGATGTTATGGATGTCATGCTACGGCTATTGGACGAGAATGATAGGGAAATGGGGGCTGCTGCGAAGGGGTTGTTTAGGGCAGCGGAGTTTCTCGCTGGTCGGTACGTGCTCAATTTGCTTTATTGACATACTCGGACAAAGGTTAATATTTATGGTCGCAGATTCGCCGCCAAAGAAGCAGCCATAAAAGCTCACCATAACCGCAAACTCACATACCACTCCATCGCCATCCACCGACCACCGGGTACCGACTCCTCAGAAGGCTCTCAACCACCCGTAGCAATCATACTCCCAGAGTCAGGGAAATGGGAAGAAGGACAAGAAGCGAGGATTAGCATAAGTCATGATGGGGATTATGCGACTGCTGTGTGCCTGGCATTTGATCCTAGACCGAAACAAAAAGATAAATTGAAGAAACCTGGTAGTTAACAGCCTACAGGTGCGGTACTTGAATCGACTAGGCCTATTTACACACAGCTAGAGATGGTCGACATGGATCCTGAGGAGGAGGACGAACATAAATGGAAGGAGACGGAAGATGCGTTAAGAGCGAAGAATGACGAGCTAACGGCTATAAACGATCCTCAACTCTTAGTGAGAGTCGAGAACCTCTCTCCCGATGTCACGGCGGAGGATCTACTGGAGCTCTTTAAGGGGAAGAGCGAAAAAGAGAGAGCGATTATTCCGCTCGCTGCTGATGGGAAAAAGCTGCCGTATGGCTTTGTCAGTTTTGCGAAACGGCAGGAGGCGGTGAGGGCGAGGGGCGAGACGGATAGGACGGTGCTGAAGGGGAAGAAGATTACTACTCGCTGGATGGGCGGGAAGAAGGCGGAGAGTAGGGGGCTGGGGAAGGGTGGCAAGAGGATCTTTACGGCGGATGAATTAAAGGATTGGGTTGAGTCTGTTACGCCTGGCACGGAAACATCAGCTGCGGTGGTGGGAGAGACAAAGGAGAAGTAATAACTTGCTATTGTCGTGCAGATATCGATATCTGGCAACGCTAGCTGATGTAAAAGTTGAAAACTCTGTACAGTATTATATATGTGTGTATATATAGAGATAGAGGAAAATCCCTTCCTATGTGTTCCAACCTTGGGATGGCTAAAGCGAGGCATTAATATTCAATATTCTCAGTCCAAGTTTGAGATTCATCTGTTTCGAAGGAGTCAAATATGAAAGTTACACAATCTCCGACATCTCAAATATATGTTTCTCGCTGTTTCTGTTCACCAAAGGCTATCTCAGAGAACGAGATTGCTAAGTCTGAGTGCACGCTTTGTCGGGGTCTTCCTCGATGAATATATGGAGGCTTGGAGGTTGAAGTAAATTTCCCAAAGTTTCTGGGTGTTTATATCTATCTAAACGAATTTGAACCGTAGAAATAGGCTTTTATCGGCATCATAAGGGGGTCCTCGCTAAGCACCAGCACATGCTCTCAGGCCGAACCCCAACGCCCTGAGATACACACTACTTTCAAAGCCGCGAGCAATTGAGCATCGAGCTAGATATTGTCTTGATCATCTGTTCCTATTGATTTTGGTTATTATCGTGTAAGTAATCTGAGGTGGTCATGAGAAATATGATGCTAGGATGGGAATGTGAGGCATCCGACAATCGCTGGAGCTAGTTTGCTGGGCTAGGGTACCTTCCGTACCACAACTCGTGGCAATCTAGTTTGAAAACGAAACCTTACCTTTCAGGAACCTGAGTGTTTGGGGTTTCGATTAGGCTTTTCGTACCATCGGTGATCTGAGAGACAAGCAAGTTACTGACGATATTCCATGAGCTGGGGTACTGGGAAATTCAGCGTTTGAAATTCTAGAATCAACTTTCCGATGCTCCAAGCTGGCAGACACCTTACCTCTCACGTTGGTTTAGCGTACTCTACAATGCCCCACCCTGTTCCTACTGGCCAATTCGGGCGCGGAGCGCATCCGATGGTCGGCTGACATTGAGTCATAATTCTTAACACTTTGATGTATTGAAATAAGGCAATTTTATCTTAACCCATTCAGGGAGGATGGCCGAGTGGTTATGGCGTGTGGCTCAAGATCTTGCAATAAGATTTTCGTCCAGGAAACTGGACTGAGTTTTCTCATTACGAAAGTAGCAGGGGTTCGAATCCCCTTCCTCTCAGATAAAAAGCAAAATTTTTTGCCGTTTTTTTGGTGTTTTGTCCAATCTTTTAGTGTGGCATTACCCCACCACCAAGCCCTAAAGCGGGGCAAGGCCCTGCCATGTAAGCGAACCCTTCCCTTTTGAATGCTTCAGCTATACGCATTATCTTTTCCCACTTAAGAAGTATGCCAGAGCACAGCTAAAGAGGAGGTCCTGTAATTGGTGGTTACTTCACCGCCTGGATTGCGACACTCATGCCTAAAGTCCTGTGAAGGATTTGCTGGCAATACAGATCTGTACTTCCCAACTCTTTTCAAATCACATCTATAGTGCTTGCCGATGCTCCAGGAGGATGAACAGGATCCAGTTCCCTCCAAGTTGCTAGCTTTTGGGATCGCTTTGGAGTTGCTAGATTGCTCTTGGAGGTAGATTCGGATACTATGTCACGAAAGTGACTAGGACAAAGCTGCTTACTCTAGTAAATTTGGTGGAAGCAAAGCTGGTGCAGCAAGATCATGGAGTTGTTGACAGCCATGGTGTTACCTTGACAGATGATGACGAGTATAACTTGGCCAAAATGCAAAACGAACAGCCGGCTACATGGAAGGTCTTACTTCAGCCGCTCTTTGCATGAAGGAAAGTTGGGACAACAATCTCCGAGAGAAGCACCCGAATAGGTTGAATGAGGATGCTGACCACAGTCACTGAAGATGGCTGTCGTGCCTAGAATGCATTTGTCATTGCACACTACTGAAGAGTGTTCAAACGGTAAGACCGCCCGAATAGAAGCCAGGTGGAAACGTATGACTTGGGCTACTTCTCTTCAAGATTTTCAAGATTCTATTCGACCCTTGTCGTAGCAAACCCAATTCCTTCATCGATCTCTTCGGCTCAGCCTCTCAGGTGAGCAAAGACAAGGACAGCAGAAATGTAAGATGGATGGGGAATGCGGCATGCAATATGCAGCTTATCTGTTCGGCGATTGGGTCTTCTTCCCTTGCGTTCCAAAATTTTGTGAATTTCCCTTTTTCAGGAAAGCAGATACACCAGAGAATTTGACGGTGCTGGAGCATTTATCTCATGTGGATGCACTAAACTCAATGTACGAGTATGTGTCACTGCTCGTCGTACATCCAAGCGAAATCATAACCCCAAACCAGCCTTAACTACTTCTTCTCCCCTGCTAAATTTTCAAAGAAAACATGGAAAATACGTTCCTATATTCCTTCCTATAATTTTTCGTAGATTTTGTACAATCTAAATGTACAAAAGGCTTATTGTACAATATTTCTGTGCACAGTAGTGGTTTTCGCTTAGGTGTACGACGAGCAATGGCACATGCTCTTATCTGGGCACATAAGGCAAAAGAAGAGCTACGCTGCTGATCTGATTTTGGATTCAACGTGCAGTTTGCAAGTTAAGCAGTTGTTCACTTGACTTTTCGGTAATTTCCGTCTTGTCGGTCACTAAACCAATTCCATACTCGAACCCCTTTCCAAGCCTCGCTAAAGCTTGGCACGTGATACAAGCCCAAATAGCATGAACAAACGAGGGCTGATTGGCCCTTTCGTAACTGCACGGTGAGATAAATCTTACATGGCAACCACCGTTGAACCATTTGATGCGAGATCTCCAAGGTGGTCGGCCGAAATGCCGAACGAAATATTACAATAAATCTAGGACTCTTTTCCTCTTCTTTCAAATGACAATCAGGCCTTTTGTCAACACATTGCCCACGATGATCTCCTACCTCTTCCTTGCATTTTCATCCTATCTTGTGTACACCTTGGTCAATAGGGTAATCTCTCTGCGTCGGAATATCGCTCTTGCTAATGCATGGGGACTTCCATACGTCGTGCTGCGTGAGTAAATACAGTGATGAAGTGATCTGGCTGTACTTGCTGATATTCTACCAGCTCTCCAAGAGGTTGGAATAATCCGCTCAGCACTCGTAGGCCTATTCGTACTGCCATTTCTCCGTCTCTTCCCGTTCACAGAAAATTGGATATGGCCGAAGTATTTGTGCCCACTGCACCCCCTAGCGGAACCTTTTGTGACTTTGAGACAGATTCATGGACCCTTTTACCCATTGGAGATACCTTCGCAAGTACATTAGTAATTTCGGTGACTACTACGTCACTCTTTCTCCAAACAGCTTCCATTTTGCGTCTATAAACGCGGAAATAAACGCACAAATAGCAAATCGCCGCACCGATTTCGAGAAACCCGTTGAAATATACAAAATTGTTAATGTTTTTGGTCGGAATACTCTCTCAAGCGATGGACCCGATTGGAAGCGGCAGCGCAAGATCATTTCACCTGGTTTCTCCGAGAGGAACAATGCCAGGGTCTGGGAACTCGGCCTCAGCCAGGGGCAAAAGATGCTGGAATACTGGGCAAGTAAAGAAGGAAGCAGTGTCATCGAAATGAATGTTGGAAATACGGCATTGGACACAGCTACATTGGCCCTGCATATCATTTGCGGCGCAGGCTTCGGTATTCCCCAGATTTGGCCCAATGAGGATGAATCGGCACTGGGAGACAAGAAATGGGCGGGACTTAACACGAAGAAACCTGCTGAAGGTCACAAGCTCACGTTCAAGGAATCTTTGGTCTCCGCTACGAGCCCTCAGATTATTTGGTTGGGTATTTTCCCAGAGTGGGTTCTCAGTAAGAAGTGTTTACTCTGGATTCTGACCTCACTAACGAGTCTGTAGGAAAGTCTCCCTTCAAGGTCCATCAGAAACTACTTGCGGCACGTGACGACTGTATGTTCTACTTCAAGGAACTCATCGAGCAGAAGAGAAGATACAGAAGATTGGGACATGAACAAGATGCCACTGATCTCATAAGTTCGCTTCATTTCTTTCAGAAGATGCCGATCTGCTGACATGAAGTAGGCCCACTCGTCAAGGCATCAGATGATGCTGAACTTGTCAAGGCGGAGGGCAAAGGAGCCTCCCAGGATGAAGGCCTCACCGAAGATGAGATCACAGGCAATACTTTTGTCATTATGTTTGCCGGGCATGAGACGACGGCCAATGTCCTTCACTTTTCGTTTCTCTTCCTAGCGATAAATCTTGCTGCCCAAAGACATCTTCAATCGGATATCGACGATATAGTCGGAACTCGTCCATCCTCATCTTGGTCGTATCAAGTCGACATGCGCAATCTGTTCAACAGCATGGTTGGAGGAGTCCTTCATGAGACTCTTCGAATCATACCGCCAGTCGTTCACGTCCCCAAGATCAACCGCGGAGGACTGAAGCAACTCAGCGTTGACGGAAAGACAATCTCAATTCCTGGAAATGGCACATATATCCACTTGGAAAGTACCACTCTTCATCGGAGCAGAAGATACTACCCATATAGCCCTTCGAAAGTCACCGACTGTTCTGATGACCTCGACGACTTTGTTCCAGAGCGCTGGCTGCAGAAAACCCCCAATCCTCCCCCGGAAGAAATGTCAAATAAGCAGGTTGATGGTTTGGAGGTTGCTTCTTTCGAAGTGCACGGCTCGCTTTTCCGTCCTATCAAGGGAGCATATATGCCATTCTCCGAGGGACCACGAGCTTGTCCGGGTCGACGATTTGCGGAGGTCGAGGTCACAGCTGTGCTGGCATCGGTATTCAAGCAATATAGTATAGAGCTCGATGTGAGAATGTGGGTGAGTGATGAGGAGCTGGACAAAATGTCGAAGGAACAGAAGAGGGATGTTTATGCAAAGGCTCAGGATAGAGCAAGAAAGCTGATTAGAGGAAGTCAGATGATGTTCACATTGAAGATAGAGGGTGACCAGGTGCCAGTGAGGTTTGTGAAAAGGGGGAAAGAGAGATTTGCCGATCTGGAGGAATAAGCGGGCACAACGATGAGTTTGAGCAAACGTTCTTATTTTTTTTAAGCGTACCTTCAGAGGCGTGATAGTAGAGTGATTATACCTCCTAGACGGTCATGAGATTGTTACCAGGCCCGCTACCTGGATCTGACTCGTTTAGGAAAGGGGTCGTTTCAACTCCACCGCTTTTTCCTTCATCCTTCCCTGTCCCCTTTTGATCTCCGTCATCTCCCCCCCATTGTGTTTGCTATGTCACCATATCAAAAGCGAGTCTGTAAGTTCGGAAAATTGAGTCAAGCAAGCCGCACAGAGACAGCTATCCGAAAAATTTCAAGAATAACATCACTTTCGATCTCGGCAATGGTTAAAAGTCCGCTCGCTATCCCGTATGTGTAGAGTATTTAAACTATCTCCCACTGTCAACATGAAGTTCTGCACACTGGAGTCTCCTCCCCCGTCTTTTGAATGTTTGATCTTGCAGGCAAAAGAAAATATGATCAAATTGCTGTGAACCAGCCCAAAAGCGGGTTGATGAGAGCCTCCAAAGCTAGCTTTGCAAAGTTCGGACGAACGAATACCTGGTGTTCAACTTCGTGGATTCTGTCACGTTGGCAATTTTGAGAAACTGGATATACCTCCTAGGCATGAAACCGATAGCCAGCTCGGATCCGGCAGATCTAATAGCAAAGTGTTGGAAGGCGTATGCTCGCATCCTCTCAAAGCTATCTCAGAGTAACACTAGTGAAAAAATGATAAAATTAATATACACGGTGTTTCTTAAGTACGGCACACCAGAATGCTGTAATGCTAAATCTACCCTACACTCGCTATATTTCTATCGTTTCGAATGGTGATTTGTCTATTGTCCAAACGCCATGCCCGTTCATTATGCTACATAATGTACAGCTGCTACTTGATCATACTCATACATTAACAGAATCATACTTCGATCCATTGGAAGGTGGAGGGATTGGGACATTTGTCTTGGAAAACCCCGCACCTTTGCCAACTTCAGCGGAGTCCATCTCAACTGCTTGATCTTCAAATGCCTCATCTGCATCCGAACCATCCCGTTCTCTTGGCATCTGTTTCTCGCGTGCCGAATCTGGATCCTCGCCGATCTCATCCGCCGCCTCCAACTTGGAAACCTGTTCTTCTATGGCCTTTTGCCTGAGTATAGTGA